CTGGGGGAAGGTTGCTAAGCTGGGCTGATTGGGAAGCAGCCACAGCTGGGCCACACCCCAATCAGGCCTCAGCTTGGCCCTATATAAAAAGCCTGTGAGCCAGCAGCCAAGAGTCTCTCTCTGCCTTCAGAGGGAGAAGGGCCTGGCTGCAGCAAGCTTGAGACAGAGTACCTGAGTGGAGCAGGGCTGGGGAAAGGCTGGGGAGCTCCAGCCTGGAAAGCCCCAGGCTGTGGCCTAGTAGAAGGCCAAGGGGTACTGGGGTTGCAGAGGGCAGCCCAGGGCTAGGCCAAGGCAGCAGGTCCAAACCCTCCTTGCCTGTGATGGGTGGCCTATACTGCAGTCTACCCCAGGGAGCGGGGGCTAGTTGGTGACTGGCAGTGGCCTTATTCTGAGGCGAGGTAAGGATAGTGGGTGGGGCTTCCCCAGGGAGGGGAGACCCTAGTAGTGAGGGGTGTACTGCCAGGGGGCAGCACCCCAGATACAAGGGCACTGGGGTCTGGGTGGGACACGGGACCAGAGGACAGGTGGATCACCAGCCTGCAGGGGGTGCTCCAGGATGCTGGAAGAGCTAATTCCCAGAAGTCACCAGCAGGAGGTGTCGCAGGAGTGAGTCCGCTCCTCTACACGGACACTTATCACAATTGCTATGTTTATATACATTTTTTTAAAAAGACAACTATCAGTTTCATGTTTCCGAAAGATATGATTATGGGCCAAATCCTTGGTTAGCATAAATTGGCTCTATTGAAATCTGACCCTGTGCTCTTAAACTGTATGAAGACATCTTGGATGTTAATCTTCATATGATGATGATACACTTTTCCAGCAGCCATGATATATACATCAAAGTATAACATTCCCTCTGAAGGAGACAGTATGAACCAGGAAATGTCATATGTAGATTACAGATGTTAATAACAATACCTTGGTTCTCCTGGTTGCAGATTATTAGGTCCATCTCCCAGTGTACTGAACAATTCTTACACTAATTTTATAATGGAATTTTCAAGGTGTGTAATACTGAAGATTGTTGTTACCCTGAAAGTTCCTAAATCCAAAGGTATGGCTTCATTGCTGAGTTAACCCATGTTGCACCATACCCATCTCTAGCCACACACACAACCCTCTCACCCAAGTTAAGTGCTACTTTCAGCCAAAGCTAACTGGCCTGCTTTGGACTTCCAGCTAAAATACGGTTTCCGTAGTTACTCAGGCTGGTAACCTACTGACTTTGCAGTGAGGATAGGGGCTAAACCACTCAAGTGCTAATAGTCCTACAGTGCTTTCCCACAATTCCCCTGTTGTGCCCAGAAAAACAAACACAAACTCCCACAATTCATTGGTAAGGCTATGGTTTTGTCACGGAGGTCACAGAAGTCACGGTATCCATGACTTCCAAAGACCTCTGTGACCCCAGCCCTGGTGGCTGGGATCTGCAGGGTCCGGCTGCCTCCTGCAGTGGCTTGGAGCTGTAATGTAACCTCTCCACCTGAGTCAGTGGGCCCCCAAGCTCTCAGCTGTCATGAGAAGTGGAGGTCCCTGCAGCTCCCAGCCACTGCAGGCAGGGGGGGTACCCCCCTTCCTTCCCACCACCATGGGAGGGCAGGGGGACCCCAGCAACTCCCCGCAGCCACTGCGGGGCAAGGGGATCCCTGCAGTGCTTCCTACTGCTGGGGATGGGGCAGGGGGACCCTGCAGCTCCCCACCAGCCATGGCTGGCGAGGGACCCTGGAGCTCTGAACCCCCATGGGTGGTGGGGGCCCCAGAGCTCCCAGCCACCCCATAGCTGCCCAGTCCCTTCCCATTTTATCATGGATATTTTTAGTAAAAGTCATGGACAGGTCACGGGCTTCCATGAAATTTTCTTTATTGCCCGTGACCTGTCTGTGATTTTTACTAAAAATATCCCTGACAAAATCTTAGCCTTATTCATTGGTAAGGAATCATAGAGCAGCTCAGCTTACTGCAGCACAAAGAATCCTGAGCCATTCCCCAAAAGTCCTAGTGTGTCCGATGGGTGACTGCCGCACCCATGAGGACACGTGTAGTTGGGTATGGTTTTGCAATGTGGCTGCAGGCCTAGGCTAATCTGGGTGCTGATCACCTGAGTTAATTCTGAAATGAAGAAATCCCCTCAGGAGCATCAGGCAGCTGATGATAAACTGAAAAGAGAAGGCTGGTAAATTGTTTTATCCTGATATGTAGGTGCAGTATTCCTTGTGATTTGGGCAAACCGTTAGTGAGTGTACAACACTTCAGGTCTATTCCTGCTAGACAGCCATTCTCCCAGAAGGCTCTCAGGAGGTGCATTTCTTCCCGTTTGAATTACTGTAGGTCTCTTAGCTGGCCTATAGATTGATCACTAGGAGATAGAAGCCTACCAGATAAGGCTCTTTCTTTAGGACGGGAAATATGTTGCACAGAAATACCTGTTCCAAGATAAGAGCTTGTTTTTCAGCATTTTAGCCAATGATTTTATCTTTAGTTTGAAGAGAGTCTGGTTTTGAGGCCCAAACTGGCCTTTGGCTTGTCTGAATTAGGATATTTTTGTTAAGATGCATGGGCAAGATTTTCAAAAGTGACTAGTACTTGTAGGTGCCTTGTTTAAGGGTGCCCAGCTGGAGGCAAGATAAAGGGAAGTGATATTCAGAATGTGGGTACTTGCTTTCTGGAAATCAGGCTTCTTTCAGGTGTCATGAGTTGGACACCCAAAAGCTGAGGCACCCACAATCACTAGTCACTTTTGAAAACTTTAGCCCATGTGTCATGGGCTATTATTTCCTAGTTGGAAAAGGGTAGGGCTAGACCTAGATTTGTAACTCTTGATAAATCTAGACTATAAACTCTACACATAAATGTGAAGATAAGGCTCCAGAAAAGTATCCAGTGTTGGTACTGTACAAATAATTGATAGCTAGTCCTACATCCACTATTTGTGTGACAGATTTGGGAATGGTTTCTGCTAAGTATCTGCAGACAGGATAATCAAGACACTTACTCAAATCAAATGCTTGTCCTTCCTCTGGGATGGTTGCCTCCAAAGTATGACTACCTCTAGCTCACTCCAAGGTGAGCCTATTGGTCAACAGAAATGTACCTTAGGGAAGGTTATGCTTGGCTGGTATGATGATGAATGGATAGAGATACTGTGCAAAGATGACAAGTTAACCCTTTCTTTCTCATGTCTAGTGTTTTATAAAGAGGAAAACAGCATTGTATTGAGTTGCCATTGTGTCTTTAATAATATCCATTGTGGTATTTAATGTGAACCATGGTAATACATCTGGAAACAATGGTAACTACTTAGTAACTCACCATTGTGCTCCCTCGTTATCTCAAGTGAATAACACATTTAACATTTTAATTGGTAGCAAAGCAAGCAAGCAGAGGTTTACTGTAACCAGCACTGCACAAAATGGAAAAAGAAAGTGATTGGAGTAGTAATTGAGATTTCTTCACTGATTAATTGCCATACACATTTAAATATTCTCTCACTGAGCTCATTTATGGTGATTAATCTCTGTACAGACTAATTTACAGGTATTATATAGAAAACTGGCTGAATTTTGATCTCACACCAGTACAAAACCAGTATAAGTGAGGTCAGACAAGTCTGAAGTTGGGTAGAATGGGAAACCTGACACTGGCTATATTGCTATAAAGACAGATTCTGATTCCCCTTTGTCACCTCAAATAGCTCCTTACAATAGTATTCCCACTGAAGTCATAGGGCTACTTGTAGTTCAAGGTACTATTCAAAATAAGTAAAAGGAGTTAGAAACTGGTTCTTAAACATGTAGGGTCAGATTCTGCTCTATTTTAGTCTGGGTTTCCACTAAATACAATGGATTTGGCACTGAGTGAAACTAGGAGGATTGCAGGCTCGCTGAAACTATTTTTTTTTCAATTATTATTCTCTTTCTACAACTGGTCTTGACTAAAGATTTTGGATCAAATCCTCCAGCCTTTGTTCAGGGAAAACTCCCTCTGGCCTTGCTGGAAGTTAACCCAGAGTAAGAGCTGTAGACATTGCCGTTTGACATTTACAGATGCACTCAATGTTGGTTGCAGTAGAAGTTTCTTATACTTGGCTCTACGTTCATGTGCATATCTATTTGCCTCTATTTGGGTCAGATTTGGATCACAGTTACATTGTTATAAATACAGAATATCCTCATTAACATCAAAGACGTTATTTCAGATTTACACGAGTGCAGCTGAGAGAAAAATCTGACCTACATTCCCAAAGCACACTAGACAAACCATTGCATGCACAATATACCTCTCTGAAACGTTTTAATCTTTTAAGATACTTTCTGTTATCCTGGACACTATTTTTGTTACGTGATGCAAGTTATGTCTTAGAATTAATAAAAAGTGTCGCCAGCAATGACACCACTAATTTCCTCCACTGCAGAAGTACCAGAATTTCACAGGATGAAATTCTATGGCCTGTATTATGCAGGAGGTCGGATTCACTAGATGATCATAGTGGTACTATTTGGCCTTAAAAATCAATGAAAGATGCTCAGGGCTTTCAACTCCCAGAACCTTGTAGGATTGGGCTCAATATTTGTGCCTCATAAATATAACATAGGGAGTTATGCCAGTAAACACGATTTACTGGGGAGTGTGAGAAACGTGAACTGTTTGTTTTTTCAGACAGCTTACTAGCTCTGCAAACCCATTTCCCTGCTCTGTTAGTAGAAGACTATACAAACCCAGGGGGCCCTGATAAAGCCAATCAAGGACAATATCAACAGCCGGGTGTTCAGTTTTGTTGTTGTGGGGTTTTTTATTTTTATTTTTTAAATATCACCCCAATATGTTCAGTTCACATTTCTCTCTGGACAGATCAACTTTTTTGGCACAGATAACTTGTTTTTGGAACACAGCCGACTAGATTCGCAAAGTCATTAACTGCTGGATTATTAGAAAGTTAATGAAGAAAGACAGAAACTGTTAACTCGAATATTGAAATGTGCATTTAATTTTTTCAGTGACACTGGAAACAGCCTGGCACTTCTAGTAGATTGAAAGGAAAACAAACCACCAAAGCCATGGAGAGAAAAAAACGACGACAGAAACGGGAATTTGGGAAAAGACTTTCTCTGGACAGCAGTCTTGTGGTAAGGACTAAAATATTCATTTACTGTTGTATGTTTTGGCATTAAAAGTATTGCTCTTTAATTTCTATGTCCCCATAATGTTGTACCTTGTTTTAAATCCGATGTTCAAGACATCACAATGGCAAATCCTCTTGTGATTATAACTCCAGATCTACAGGACTAAAAGACTTTTGCAGAAACCCAATAGGAGCCTATTATCATATGGAAACATGTCACTGGGTTTGAGTGAATTACACTAGGGATCAATCTGGCCAGGTACACAAGGATGGCTTTTAAAAAATTACCAGTGTTATATAAGATAAAGAGATATGGTTACCTCAGGCCCTGCAGCACTCTGCTGTATTTCCTTATACTTCATATAGGAAATACTTTGACTGAAGTAAATACTGACCTTCTCTGACTGCAAATTCTTGTTTAGTTACACTAACTGTGGTGCCTGTAGGTATGTTACAAATTCATGTAATATCATCTGAAGGAAGCAGCAGCTGGCACATGCTCTGGATGAATTATTATTGATATACCAAGGACCTGATCCTGAATTTAATGAGAGCATGATCTTGGCCCCCAAATCTGCCTTCAAAAAGTAATGTTTTAGCTGCTGAGTGGAATAAACAAAAAATTCTTGAACAGATGTATCATGAATGCCCAGATTGGAAAATACTTGGAATATGTGTTTACAACTAGCATGCTGAAACTGAATAAACGGAGAGGTCTCACGCTGCCCACATTTGTCTCTGTGACTTTTGCAGTGGCTGCTCCTTATTCTGAGAAGGGAACTTTTTCCTTGGAGGTGATCACAGATCTGCTGCCTTCTCAGAGTAATGAGACTCCTGAGAATGATGCTTGGGGAAGTGGCTGGCGTGCTTAGTGAATCTCCTCCATTGTATAAATGCAGGAGAGGATGGGTCTTGCTTGACTGTTAATGTCAGCTGGCCAGGGAAACAAATGTAAAAAGGGGACATGACTGTGGGAGCAGCTACCACTTTCCTGGGCTCTGAAATGGAGCTGTCAGGGAGATGAGATGATTCTGTAAATCACCCCTTGTGCCTTATAAAATAAATCAGGGAGTGAACACTCCTTCCCCTAGCCTTAACAGAATGCCAGTGGCTCCAATGAAAGGTGATTGTAGGGAGTTACGTATGATGTGAGGTGTGGAGCTCATCTTCCCATTGTGAGCAGCTCCAAAACGCCCTGATGATGAGTGCGCTTCTGCAGTGGATCATCTTTTCCTTCAGGTAGGTTCTGCAAAATCCAGCCTGCTGCAAAGCCTGCATCCTCCCAGGACTTGCACAGTCCAGAAATGTACAGGTATTTTCAGCTAGATCAAGCCCAAAGTTACAACGTTATTAAAACTACTTCAGTTACCTTACAGCTCGTGTACTCAGAAGTGGATGCACAGTTTCATCATCTAATAGACTCTCATATATGATCAAAACAAAAATAAGCATTTATTGTACATGGACTGTGTTCCTATACAGGATCAAGTTCTGCTATTATTTCTAGGCATGTAAGTCCATGGAGGCAGATTCTAGTCTAATTTCTCTAATTAAAGTTCATTGCTGTGTTCCAAAGATTTTAGCCACAGAAGAACAGAAACGGTATACTGAGAGTTTAGGGCAATGCCAGCAGTTTTGAACATTGCTGCATGGACTGCTAGAAAAGGCGTTGAACAGTATGGAAAATAAGTGCTGGTTTTTTTTTTACTATTGTTTCCCTTATCCAAAGAATTCTCCATAGAATAGTTTTGGAGCTTACTGATGTTTTATCAACCAATTAAAATGTAAATTTTGTTTTACTCAGGAGACAATTGTGGTCTGATGCGTAGGCTCCTGGTTTCCTGCCTCCAATCTATGCACTATCTCCCCAGTAAACCAAAATGTTGCGAGTCTTCTGCAAAGTCTTGCATCTTCGACTGCCTGTTAGTATATCATACTGGCTGTCCTGTGACTAGACCAAATTCAACCAGGCAAAACTAAACACTTTATCTTTCTCTCCCTTCCAAAACACCTCTCCTCTCCATCACTGTCAATAACAAAAAATTTCTTTCTGTCATCTGGGTATCATACTCCACTCTTCTCATTACTTCCCCTACGTCCATTCTGTTGTCAAATTCCATCAGAACACTACATTTCCAAAATCTATCCACTCATCTTCATTCTACCTTCTGAAGTTCCTACATCTCCTCTGTTTCTTCTCTTCACATAAACCCTCCTGCCTAACCACTCCCTTGAAGTCTTCTTGCACTCTCATATTCCAGTATTCTCCAGGCTGGACATTATGCTTGGAACGGTCAACCCTGATTTGATGCTAAAAACATGGTCTCTACTTTCTGTGGGATAGCAATAATCCACCTAGAAAATAATCTCATTCATATGCATTCAAAAGCAACATGTTCAATTTTTGACCTTGGGCCACAAAACACATGTATAAACAGGAGATAATGTTAACACACATAATAGTGTGTTATGTCATCAATCTGTTCTGCTTACTATGCTTTACTATGCCATCTCCTTGTGAAAACGAACACTTCTTCCATGAAGTTATGCTGTAGCGCTCTCTTTCAGTAGGTATTAAAATTTACTAAACCTAAGTATTGCTTAGTGATTTTTAATAGCAATGGATTATCTCTGTCTGTATCTTCCTCTTGGAGTCAGAATGTGTTGGCTCAGAGGAAGAGAGAGAGAGAGTGAGAAAAAGAGAAAGAAAGCAATTTCTAAAACTAGAGATGGGTTCAAGCCATTCTGGGTATAAATTTGGGCTTTCCAAAACTGAATCTGATCTTTACCAAAGTTTGGTGTGTTTGGATTTAGCCCATTACAGAGAGTGGTGCAAACTCCAAACCTGGAACAATGTTTCAGCTTCCATCTGGGGTTTTGACTCAGGCCAATTTTTGTCTAAATTTGGAACCTTCAAACAATGAAGCAGTGAGAAATGACACATCCACATAACACTCTTCCTCACAGCACAGTACAAAATCGTTTCTTCTTGGATCCCCTAAATGAAGGGGAAAATCAAATGTATTTAAGCTCTGCTAGAGCTGGGCAAAATTTTTCAGACAAATAGTTGAGTTGACAAAAAATGCAGTTTCAGGTCAACCTGAAACCATGTATGGATTTGACACCAATAGTTTTGGCCAGTCACAAAATGGCTGGAGGAGGAGGAGGAGGTGGGGATAGTGGTACTGCCTGCCTTCCGCCCCTATGCCATAACCACAGCTGGAAAACCTTGGGGAAAGAGCTTGAAAATGAGGCCAGATAAGCTTTTCTCAAAGGAAAAATTTAGACACAAATATAAGGATGATTCATACTGTGAAGCATCATGAGATTTTCTACTAATTAAAAAGTTTGAATGGATATTTCTCTGAATACTTTACCAAAAGCTAATATATTTTAATCCTTTTATTTCTGGGGAGACTAAGAATCCTCTTGCCCTTAGTAACAGCAAAATATCCACTGAGGGCCCTGTTCAACTCTTGTTAGATCAAGGGAAGTCTTACCATTGACCTCAAGGGAACTGGATCCATTTGAGGTTAAATGGTCATATGATTACCGCTATTATTGTAACCACTAGAGGTCTCCACTATTGCCAGCAACTGAGAATTTCAATGCACAGGCAATTAATTAATATTTATAGACAAAGCGGTCAAACCTTTAGAGCAATGACAACGATATTTATAGTTCTATGTTCAAGTGAAAGGAATGACAAAATATTTAACTCAGTGTGACAACCCTTATAGAAAATCCCTATATGGCTTCAGAATAATACCACCCTTTAGTGTTCTGTCTGATGGTTGACCTTCCCTGCCCAACTGAAATAAGGATATAGTTTTTGGATGGGAATTAAGAATAATTTCTATAACTCATATTGGTTTCATCCCTATTAAGCTCTATGGAAGCTTTCTATTAGGAAAATCTGTTTGTGTATGTTACAGACAAGACATGATTATTATTTAAATCAGAGACGTGTGGGGAGCTAGTATTAGAACTCTTGTTTTTCATCTTAAAAAAAACAGGCCTCTGTCACTTCAGATAAAGAAAAGCTCCTTTAGATGACCTTATTAATAGGGGTCCTCTGTCCTGTCTGTGGGCCAGCCAATAGATGGAAACAACACAAACTCTCTCAGACATCAGTCCATCCACCTACTTGGAACTAGAGCCCTATATTTTTCATAAATTCATGATGATGGAGGGGCAGATGGGCCAAAGCTAAATAGTATTGAAATCCCGGGTGCCTGGAATGGAGAGCTGGACTCAGTCTCACAGGTCAGAAACCACTGCTGCATGGTGAGTGAGGGGCAGGCTCACTCTGCCAACCCCATCACCCAGAGAGTTTTTCACACATTGGGGGCAGGACGCAACCCTTGTGGATAAAACAGATAAAATAAAATATGAAATTCACAAAAAATTAGAACAAAAATACATTTACTGGACTCTTACATCACTGTGAATTGCTTTGTATGATGGGGGCCACAGTCACATCAGGTTTATGCTGTGATTACTGAAGGTACTTCAATTTAGAACTAAAATAAAATGCAAAAGAAATAATCTCAATGGAATAAGGTTATTTGCAATATATTATTCAGCCATTTGGTATTTCTTTCTGTTGTACAGTTTTCCAGGTAGGATGTGATCCCTGGTAAACAAAGGAGACAAAACTGGGACTCAAGCTTTGTAGAAGCTTGTGTATTTTCCAATCTGAGTTAGAATGCAAAATGGAAATAAAGAGCAGATGGTGAAAAATACATTAGATTTTAAATAATTATTTCAGTTTTGAATAAGGGAAATATATTATTAGCATCAGTGTACTTTTAACAGGGTATTTTTAACCTGGCAAGGTCCCTTTTGTCCAATAATAATCACCAACTTATTTTATAGGTGCTGGAACTGAGGGTACTGCCGCAACCCCTGGCTTGAAGTGGTTTCCATCGCATACAGGGTTTATAATTTTGGTTCAATGGCTCTCAGCCCCTCCACCATACAACTTGTTCCATCACCCCTGAC